CTTCCTCCCCACCAAAAAGAAAAGAAACCGAAACCACATAAAGCACTTTCTGCCAGAGAGAAAGCTAGTTTCAATAGCTTCTCTTCGTCGGGTATGGAGCTTTAGGCTAGATCTCTTGGTAGCACCATTTTATTATATATAAAGGCACGAAAGGAAAAATGGTATTACCAAGAGATGTGGGCTAAAATTCCATACCCGACCAAGAGAAGCTTATATATAATTAATTATATATACTTAACTCCAGCCATCAGTCCCGAGACAGGTAGGTAGGAGATATAGATTAGCTAGATTATCTAAAATAGATAGATTAGATGATAGATAGATAGATAGATAGATAGATAGATAGATAGATAGATAGATAGATAGATAGATGGATAGGATAGGATAGGATAGGATAGACAGACAGGCAGGGCTGATGGCTGAAGTTAAGTATGACTAGCAATATAGGCAGAGGACTCTGAGCACATACAGAGTTCCTTCTTCTCACACCCTAAGCACTGACGGCGTCTCCCTTCCTCAAGTATTTATAATGAGAGAAAGACAAAGGACACATCAAGAAGAGGTTCTCTGACATGAAGGCTGCCGAAATGAGCCCAGAGGTGGGGAAACTCGGGTTCAAAATCCCCATTTAGCAAGCGTCTCTCCGCTGTTTGGCCCGCTGAGAGGGGCGAAAGATGAATACGCGCCCAAACCCACCGCTTGCTCTCCGGGACGGTAACCCCAGGAAGCTGCTCTTCCCCTCCTCCTCCCCCCCGACTGCCCCGTCATCTGTTCAACTCACCGGCCGCCAGTCTCGCCCCGTAATCCCTGAGTGGAACCCGTCCGAGCTGCCTTATAACCTCGGCGCGCCAAGGCAAGAACGACGGTCCTACACGAAGCGCTTCCCGATTGGCTGCCGGCCGTCACGTGGCCCGCCCGCTTTGGTGCACGTGGAAGGCTGTTGTGGCCTCGCGCAACTGACGGATTCCTTCCCCCCCCCCCCCCCCGCCTCCCCGACCGCCGAACGTTCGCCTTTTCCGGCTGGAAAGAGAAAGGGACACAAAATAGAAGGAGGAGGGCCATAATCAATCCCGGAAGCGGAAGTGCAAGAGAGTGGCTCTAAGGGAGGGTGAGCAATCGCAGCAGGCACCGTCAGCGGGGACCGTCTGGGACGGGGAATTGCTGGCCGCCGCGGAGTCTTTGCCATGCCTCGGTACTGTGCGGCCACTTGTTGTAGGAACCGAGCGGGACAGAGCGCCCGAGATCAGCGAAAGCTCAGCTTTTACCCGTGAGTGCCGCGGCCAGGGAGACTGGAGGGAATCTCTCGCATCCCCGACAATAAATACTCCCATGTTGGCATAGAAATAGGTTCCACGAATAAGGTGGAGGGGCATTTTTCAATGGTGTTTCCTTGGCAGTAAAGCTTAATGATTTAGGGAGTGTGCATCGTAGCAATTGTTGGGGGAAGACACAGCAATACAACGCATGCTACTTCACAGAAATTTGCCAATAAGCAGATTCCTTTAATCATAGCAAATAGTTACTGTCAACATCTACCCATAGCGCCAATAAGGTGATATTTGCTTTTTTTATTATTATTATTACCTATCCCAATCTGATGGCTCCCAAATGCCTTATAGTTTCTGTAACTCCCTAGCAGACACTTTCAGAATATATACTGAGT